AATAGATTAATTGCAACTATATCAGTTAATAGCAGGAGAAATTGTTTTGAAAAAAATATCTTTGAGGAATTTTTTATTTGGCTATTATTATTTGCTTCTGAAATTAATCAATAGGTTGCTATTATACTTAACAGAAATAAAAGAGGGAATGAGAACTCAGATTATATCAGGCTCAGAATGACTGAACCAGAAACCTCCTTTCAGATAGTTTACTCTAAAAAATATAAATTATCAGCCCATAGATGATGCTTTAAAATATAAACTTTGGTTGGTTGCCAAAATATAAAAGTTTATTGAATTCACATAAAATTTTGAATTTACTTTTCCACTTTAAAATCACAGTGAACTTGCACTGTTGCATAGTACTCTTATTAAGTGGAGCATGCAATGTGACCAATTCTTTATTTTCACCCCCTTTCCTGTTAATTTATGCTCAGCTCATTTTATTCAATTTTGTTATCTTTCTATCCTCTCTGTCATCTGATTTTAACAGTCTTGATTTATACCAATTGCTTCATTTTGTATTGAAATTATATCTGATTTCAAAGGAAAGATGTAATTTATCCCAATCATGTAACTTGTACTTTACAGGGCATAAAATAAAATGTGTCCTGTCTGGCAATAAATAGAAATTTTGTAATTCAATGCTCATTATCATAGAGATCCACTTAATTCTAGCCTGGAGAAAATTGCATTTTTATAGTATGTTTTGATTGTGTTTTGGAACAATTAAGACAAAGGTTAATAAGGAGATACTTTGTCTAGAAGTAAATCTGTTTTAAACATTAGTAACAATAGAATATTAAATGCTTTTACTAGTATGCATTGCATTTAAAATCCTTCTTAAATTATACCAATTAAGCTGAACTGGGTTGGCTCAGTGGATAGAGCGTCAGCCTGTGGACTAAAAAGTCCCGGGTTCCATTCTGGTCAAGGGCATGTACCTTGGTTGCGGGAACATCCCAGGTGCGGGGTGTGCAGGAGGCAGCTGATCGATGGTTCTCTCTCATCGATGTTTCTAACTCTATATCCCTCTCCCTTCCTCTCTGTAAAAAGTCAATAAAATATATTTTTAAAATTATATCAATTAATTTGTCCAGTATTAATCATTTCTATCCATATTGTACAAAATACACTAAAATATTATTTTTAAGTTTGAAGTAAAAGATGGAATTTTTTTAATATTAAAGTTTAAGATACATTAGCTGCTGACTTTATATTTATGTACTTTATAAGGATCAATTAATTGTGGAAAGTACAAAATTTAGCTTTTATTTCATGCATTAAACAAGACAGACAAGTAAATAATTTAAGCAATACTTAATTCCATTAGAAGTAATTAATTTGGTTTATGAAAATTACTGCAAAATATGACTAACATTTTTTTCTAAATGAAACTTAAATTGTATGTAACTTGATCTGTCATAAGTTAACAATTCATTGCTTTTAATAGTCAAGTCATGTATATCAGCTATATAATTGCATCATAACAATATTAACACAAACTTAATAAGTTAAAACAATACGTATATCACCTGGAAGTTTCTGTAGCTCAACAGTTGTTCACCTCTTATGCTCTCTCTCTGTTCCATAGACTCACATAGTTTTGAATCAAGATTAGGGCCAGGGCCAGGGTCTCATCTCTGACTTGACTAGGTAGGGAGAGGTCCATGATCAAGCTCATGTGGTGTTGATTGGATTCTGTTACTTGCGGGACGTAGGACTGAGGGCCTCAGTTCCTCACTAACCATTGGTCATACATCATCTTCAGTATGTTGTCATGCAGACAATTCCATATGTTCACTTCATAAATCCAGCCAAGGAGATGGAGTCTACTAGCAAAAGTGAAGTTACACATTCAGATCTTATGTAATCACTGAGGTGAGGTCACATCTACTTCACCAATTTCTGTCCTTAAGAAACAAGTACTAGCTCTCTGCCCCTTCTGAAAGGGGAGAGGAATACTCAAGGGAAGGAATGCTGAAAGTGGGAGATTATTGACAGCCTTTTTAAAGACTACTGTGTTTCCATAGCTCTCTGATTTTAACCTTTTTCATATTTTTATTTCCTAATCACCATGATAAGCCACTAAGCAATGTGATAAACAGAAGAGTGTCTTTCTAATCTAAAGTAGCATACAGTTTATTCACAATCAAAGCAGTCCATCAAAACCAGCCTAGTGTCACTTTTGTAAATGCCTTCCTTTTTGTAGTAGACTACTATTAATTTTAATTCCAAGTCACCAAAAGAATCCTTATTTTACTGAGCTGAAGCTATGATAATGACTAAATAAATTTCTTATAGAATATAATTATGTTTCTTAGGTATCTTAAGAAGTGTCTATCAAGGCCCGTGGTCTGCAAACTGCGCTCGTGAGCCACATATGGCTCTTTGGCCTCTTGAGTATTGCTCTTGCACAAAATAGATGGCCTGGGCGAGTCTATTTTGAAGAAGTGGCATTAGAAGAAGTTTAAGTTTTAAAAATTTGGCTCTCAAAAGAAGTTTCAATCGTTGTACTGTTGATATTTGGCTCTGTTGACTAATGAGTTTGCCAACCTCTGATAAGCAAACATATCTTTTTCTAATTTAGTTGGGACTATTTGATTGGAAGTGATAGGAATCTTAGGCAAATGAGAAATAAAAGAAAAATATAATTTTTCCATGACTGAAATAATGAGCTTACCTAGTTTTAAGTATAGCAGCATTTAAAATATTAGTCCAAGAACAGGGATTTTATTTTAATCCCATCATTTCATTTGTGTTGATATTATGCTCAACAAGAACATTACTATAGAGTACAAACATTAAAATTCTAGCAAAAAAATACAAAATGAACACCTTATTTTCTAAGTAGAGGCCTGGTGCATAAAATTTATGCACGTGGGTGGGTGGGGGGTTTGTCCCTCAGCCCAGCCTGCACCCTCTCCAATCTGGAACACCTCAGGGGATATCCAACTTCTGGTTTAGGCCTGATTCCTATGGGCAATCAAACATCCTTCTCACAATCCAAAAATGCTTGTTTCTAACAGCTTGTCTGCCTGCCTGATTGCCCCTAACTGCTTCTGCCTGCCAGCCTGATCACCCCCTAACCACTTCCCTGCCAGCCTGATCAACATCTAACTATTTCCCCTGCTGGTCCGATCGCCCCCAACTGCCCTCCCCTGCTGGCCCAGTCGCCGCCAACTGCCCTCCCCTGCCAGCCCAGTCACCCCCCAACTTCCCTCCCCTGCTGGTCTGATCACCCCTAACTGTCCTCTCTCCTCTGCAAGCCTGATTGCCCACAACTGCCCTCCCCTGCCGACCATCTTGTGTGAGAACATGATAGTCAATTTACATACCATCTCTATATTATATCTGAAAAGTAACAGTAACATTTCTGGGAACAGATTTCATTGGCTGTTCATAAACACTGAGCAAAGAGGATAAAGTGTCCTCATTGGCCAGAGAGAGCTAATGTATTTATCCATATCTCAGGGATTGGTCAGCCCTACCCAAACCACTTAGAATGAGAATGGAGGAGGAAGCATTATCCAAAGCAAATTCTGGATGCTGTTAACAAAAGAAGACAGAAAGGATGTAGGAGAGTAAAAAAAATAGTTATTGACCATGTAATGAATATATGGACCACCATTAGATGCTGCAACATCTGTAAGATATAGCACTTTATATTTACATAACTGAGTGAAACAATTATGTGGACTACAGTCCCAAAGAACATAGCAATTTAGACAAGATGTTTATAAAGGGTTATGTGTAATTACAATTGCAAACTATATTTGTGACTCAGTGCATATATATATATATATATATATATATATATATATATATGAAGCCTAAACTACCAAACGACCAGTAGACTGGTTGCTATTACACGCACTAACCACCAGTAGATGCTCAAGGCAGGAGCTGGCCCCTGGTGGTCATTGCACTCCCACAGCCAACCTCCTACAGCCTGTTAGCCCCAATCAGCCCCAATCGCCAGCAGGTGGAGAAACCCCACTCATGTACATACTTGTGCACCAGGCCTCTAGTTTGTTAAAAAGGCTTCAATAAAGACACAATATATATAATTGCTCTAGATTAGAAGAACTGAAAAAGTGGAAATTAAAATGAGGAGTAACATTAAAAATGTAAGTATTGAAAAAAAAATACATATGAAAGAAATGGCAATAGGATTTATCTTAGCAGTTTAAGAAACTAAAGCTTATTAGGAACCAGATGAGTTAGACAGGTTAACTAGACTACAAAAAGACTCAGAGATATTATTAGAACTTATATTTAATAATTTTCTAAATTTATTGGAGATGGATGATACAAACCTGTGAATTATAAAAGTGAGTTTATTTATATTAATTTATACCAGTAAAGTTATGATTTTCTAGTTAGAGTGATTAATATTGCATAACGAAATTGAGATTTTTGAGAACTATATAATGAGTTGTTGAAAATATATTTTTGATTTAAATGTGTATCGTAGTGTGGCTATAGCTAAGCAAAATATGTAATTTTAAAAGGGCTGTACATTTTTTTGATGCCATCTATTCAAATACTTTTAGTATAGTTAGAGCTTTGCAATGGAGCAAGAAAAAAGATGAGAAAGAGACATTTGGAAGCCATTTGCTTAAATATGATAACATCATCAAAACAATAGCAACATTTCACTCTAGCAGTTGAGATAGCAAATTGCATCTCTCTGTTGTTTTCAGTCTGGAAGGTGCTTTAGAGACAAGTGAAAAGAATTTTTAATGATATTTGGCAAATAATAAAGCAGTCATATGTGCCATCTCAAATTAAAAACAATGCAAGTGATGACATGATTAAAAGAGCCTTTGCATCATTTTAAACAATTTTTAGGGTTGGAGTCAATGTACTTTCTAAAAACTTCAGAACATGTTCACCTAAACACACATACACATAAACTAGCATTCTATTATTAAATTCAAAACTCCACCCTGGCAAAATGGGCAATAAAAAGTTAATTATTTTCTCTAAACCTGCAGGCCTCCTCCAGTAAGTGAACTGGCTGCGCGAGGGACTGCTGTGGGTGTTATTTCTGCCGCGGCCGTCAATCAGAGCATCGTGTACTCAATTGTCTCAGGAAATGAAGAGGGTGAGTAGATGTTTAGTCTGAGTTTTCACCGTAAACTAATCAACCTGGATTTGGAATTAATTTCAGATTGAATTATTGTTTGCTTTATATTTTAAAAAAGAAACATTTCCGGCTTAAATGCAATTGGTAATTATGCGCTGAATCTGATTAAAAATCCAGTTACGTTGATGAAAACGATCTCCTCCACCCCACCAGGAAATTCAAATTTCTAATTCTGGCGGTCGTTTGCTTCTCATTTAAGGATACTTTAATGACTTTACTTCCAATTTAATTTATGATACTTTCAGCCGTAAGTTATAGTTATTGTCTTCCAGGAGTCTCTTCCCACTACTTCCGATCATCTACCACTTGCATTCCATGTCATATAGTAGCTGATCCTGAAGAAACTTTAGAACTATAAATGATTGTGAATGCCCAAAGAGGCACATGCATGACAAAAGCCGTGAATATTGTGTAATATTGTTCCTCCTCAAACAGTTAAGTTAGACATGCAATTGACAACTGTAAGTAAACAAATAGCTGAGGTTTTGGTCTACCCATCACGTTTCACTCGGAAGAGGATGGTTTGTGAGCCTTAGGAATAAGTCCATAGCTCACTCAGTCTTGATGACCCATTCTTTGTGTCACTGCTATCCACAGTTAGTTGTCCTCTGCTTTTCCCTTTTGATAAACTGTATGCTTGGAATATTATAGGTAGCCAAAATGGTTAATATAGATTTATATTATTGGAGGAAGAATAAATATGAAATTAATGAATCAACATTAAGACTCTTAAGCAGCTTGCACAAAAATTGTGAAGGCCTTTTTTAAGTGTCCCAACAACCAACCATTACAAAAAATCGCAGCCCCTAAACAGTGATCAACATCATACTATTCTTATTGTTTCTTTATTTCTACTGCTATTCCTTCCCCCCTAAACCTCACTAAACTTCCTTTTTCCTTGAACTTCCAGCATCTGACTATACCTGTGATTTCTCAATCTGTTCTGGTACTTCTTTCTGTGATCCTATCAGTTCTCTTCCTTTAAAAAAAAAAGCAGAGGAATTCTAATTATTACCCTTCTTATTCCATAATGACTATTGTTACAATTTATTGATTTTTAATTTATTCAACATATATTTATTGATTTATTTAAAAAGTATTTATTGAGCACCTATTAGATACTAAGTGATCTTCCAGCCATGAGGGATAGAGCAGTGAATAAAAAAGATCCTTTCCCTCGTATAAATTATTAAACTGATAAGTATATAATATTTAGGCAGTAATAAATACTATGGAGAAGACTAAAGAGAAAAATATAACATGAGTGCAAGAGGTGAGATAGTTTACAATTTACCAAAGTGCCCTGCTCTTCATTCAAATATATATTAAATGGGAAAATTCATTGAACAAATGAACATCAGAGCAAAGTATTTGAAGCTATTTAAAATAATAAACCATATTTTCTAAATAATCACCATATTTTTTCCTAAGGTGTTCTTAGCAGGGCACTAAATCTATGGAATAATAAGATGCATTTAATCATAAAATGTATAATAATTTAATAAGATAATAAAATAGTTAAACAAAATTAAACAAAATTAAATAGTTTATTTAAAACAGAATTTCTAAAAGTCTTTAGTATGGTAGAAGACCATTTGAATCTAGGGTGAGGGGCATGGTATATATTGCTCCTAAATGCAACTGCTCACAGAAACATTGATTTCAAGGAGAATCTCAGAAAAAAATAGAATTCCAAGGCCTGTGATTAGGGTAATACTGATATTTATAATTTCTGGAATGTAAGTTTCCCAAGAGCTGAAATATAGTTTCCAAAAGCCAGTTTCTTATCCCTGTATGCACTACTACTAAAAAATGTGTTTTGAACTCACAACGCCTTTTAAGAATTGTTTTTACTTGAAGTTTGAAAAAAAAAAATGACCAAAAAATTACATTTTAATTCTAGGAAAGTTTGGAATTAATAACGTCACGGGTGTTATCTATGTGAATGACCTTCTGGACTATGAAACAAGGACAAGCTATGTACTTCGAGTCCAAGCTGATTCCCTGGAAGTGGTCCTTGCCAATCTCCGAGTTCCTTCAAAAAGTAAGTTATATTATTTAAAGATTTTAAAATAAATAGATGGTGTTTCTGCTCATCTTACTTTAATTTAAATATATATAAATATATATAAATATATATATTACAATTAATATACCATATTATATTAGTTTCAGGTATGTAACCCTATGATTCTGTATTTATATGGCTTATGAAGTGATCACCGTGATAAATTAAGTGTTCATCTAACACCATAGTGTATTAGTAGTTATTACAATATTACCATGTTCCCTATGTTGTACTGTACCTTCTTGTAAATACTCTTTAACTTCCAATTTGTACTTCTAAATTCCTTCTCCTTTTTCACCCATCCCCCAACCCCTCTTTCACCTAGCAACTGTAAGAATGTTCTTTGTATGTATGAGTCCACTTCTGTTCTCTTGTTTGATTATTTTCTTTTTAGATTTCGCATATGATTGAAATCATCTGACGTTTTTCTTTCTCTAACTTATTACACTCAGCACAATACCCTCTTGGTCCACTGTTGCATAGAGCAATATTTCAGTATTTTTTAGGGCTGAATCATAATCTATTGTGTGTTTGCACTACTTCCTTATCCATTCATGTAGTGATGGACACTTAGGTCTCTTTCATATCTTGACTATTGCAAATAATGCTGCAATAAACATTTGGGTGTCTATGTCTTTTTGATTCTGTGTTTTGGGTTTCTTTAAATAAATACCCAGAAGCTCCACTTCTGGGTATTTATTTAATACCCAGAATGCTCCTTTGTCTCTGGTTATAGCCTTGTTAAAACTTACTGTGTCTGAAATAATTATTGCTACCCAGCTTTTTGTTTACATTTTTATGAAATATCTTTTTCCATCCCTTCATATCAGATTGCATGTATCTTTCATTCTGAAGTGTATCTCTATGAGGGTCTTATTTTGTTATCCATTAAGTTATCATAATATGTCTTTTAATGGGAGCATTTAATATACTTACATTTTAAGTAGTTTTGATAAGGTATGAGTTTATTGACATTTTATTATTTATATTTTTAGTTGTGTGTTGTTGTTGTTATTGTTTTTCCTTTTTCTTCTTAAAGAAAATCCTTTAATATTTCTTATAATACTGGTTTGATAGTGATGAACTCCTTTAGCTTTTCTTGTCTGGGAAGCTCTTTATCTGTCACTCAATTATAAATGACAGTTTTTCTGGGGAGAGTAATCTTGGTTGTGCGTATTTGCTTTTTATCACTTTGACCATTTTATGCCAATCCCTTCTGGCCTGCAAAGTTTCTTTGGAAAAATCAGCTGACAATCTTATGGAAGCTCTTTATAGGTAACTAACTGCTTTTCTCTTATTGCTTTTAAGATTTTATCTTTGTCTTTAACCTTTGGCATTTTAATTATGTGTCTCGGTGTGGGCCTCTTTGTATGTATCTTGTACGGTACTCTCTGTGCTTCTTGGTCTTATATGTCTATTTCTTCCACCAAATTAAGAAAGTTTTCTGTTGTGCACTGTCCTGTTGTAGTTGAGCCTTGATTGCTGCTTGCATGTTCCTTGGAGCAATTGAACGTCCAGGCTGATTTGTGGCAGGGAATAGCTGTGACTGCAGCAAAGGGGCTGCTGTGCAGAGTCTGACCCCATGGAGCAGGACTTCCTTCAATGGGGCTTTGGTGCCCACCAAATCTGCCCCTTTAGGTGTGGCTTGTGGATGTGGTTGGTTATAATCTGGCATGGTCTAACGATGTCCACCAGATGCACTGGCTCTGGGGCCTCCCGGGAGGTGTACAGTCAACCACCACTTCTGTTCAGCCAGGGTCACCTAGCATGAGCTACAGAGCAGTTTGAAAATGGCTGCTATTTGTGCTGGGCTTGAAGGTACCCAGGAGAGGTCAAGCTGTGGACCAAACTAGCTGCCACTAGTGCCAGACCTGAGGCCATTTAGCAAGATGTCTGTGGTACACAGAGGCCAGATGCTGGTTTTTGCTTGTTTGTCTTTTTGTTTGTTGATAGAGATTTTAGGAAAATCCAAAGCATGAACTAAGAGAGGCCATTTGTATGGAGAAGCCACCAGAAATGGCTTGGGTGAACCTGCAACTTACATGGGGTGGGGTCTCAGGGAATCACCAGAGCTGGGTGAACAGTGTTAGCTAGGGTGGTGGAAACTCAGATTTGATGTTCATCTACTTCCTTAGTGAGGATAGGGCTCAGCAAGGGAACAATGCCCTCTGCCAGCATTTCTGTATGGGAGAAACCTGTCCCTTCAGTCTTGCCTTGATGCCATCCAGAGAATTCAGTTTCTCCCTATATGTTCCTGGTGCTTTTCCAGCTGTTGCCCCAGTGCTGGAACTTAGAGCAAGTGAGTCTGAGTAAGTACATCTGAGGCTCCTTCTAAAGGAAGACCTGTGACTCCAGTATTCTTCAGTCTTACTCAGCCACAATCCCTGCTGGTTTTCACAACCAGAAGGTTTAGGGACTTCTCTTCTCAGCACTGGAGCCCTGGGATAGGGGTTCTGATGTAGGGCCAGGACCTCTCACTCCTCAGGACAGACCTCTGCTGCAGAGATATCCCTCCTGATTTTTAACCACCAGAGCCCTTTTCATGTCTTTCTTCCTCCTACCAGTCTCAATGTGGCTTCTTCTTTAGATCCTTAATAATAGGACTTCTGTTTAGCTAGCTTTCAGGCAGTTCTGAATGATGGTTGTTCTGTAATTTAGTTGTAATTTTGATCGGGTTGTAGAAGGTTTTGAGTAACAAGTGTACTTGCACCGCTGTCTTGACTGAACTCGGCTTATTTTCTAATGAAATCCACATCTGAAAGTTATCAGTGAAAAATAAAGAAAGACCGTTAATATTAAGGGATGTTTGTCCATCTATTTTAATTTCTAAAATATGACAATGCTGACAGTGATTTCATACTCCTAAATTGTCAAGGCAATAACGTACTACTTCTAAAGTTTGTGTACAAAATTATAGAATACCATCATTATCTGTGTATGTTAAATTATAAACATTATTTCATCCCACTGTGATGTTCAGGCTAGCCTCTGGAATGTAGCATAACCACTAGATATTCTGTGAATTGTGTGGCTTCTGGTACTTATATATTTTCTTATAATAGAGGAAAACACATCTTAAAATTAATGACTAACATTTATCATAATTTATATGCTGCATTGTCTGTAATTCACACCCATTTCTAGGAGATGAGAAACATTAGTTTCACTACAAGGACATAATAAGGAAAGTTTAAGTGATTTCCTAAATATAACACTTGTCAGTAAATAAAAAGTTGAAGTTTTAGGCTCACAACTTTTGACTCCAAAATCTTTCTTCAGCATTCCAGTTTCATATAGTTCATGCTCACAGAGGAACAAGTAAAAGCCACTTTGTAAAGGGGGCCGGCACAGATTCTAAGAGCTGTTACTAGCAATGGATAAATTCTATTCTTTTCCATTCACCGCTGGATAAATTCTACTCTTTTCCATTCACAGCCATGATGCTCCTTTGCATTTAAGTAATCCATCTTCCTTTTTCTTTTTCTTTTTCTTTTTCTATAGTCACATCAAAATTTTTAGAATCTAGGAAACCCAAGAAAACCAAATTTAATATATCCATAAGAATAGTCATATAGAGTGTGAAGAGTGAAACAGGATCTGAAACACCTATCTTTTACTCTGGGGCCATTTCTAGGCATTTTATCACTCCATCAATCAACATTTTGAGAAGGGGAAATTGGAAAAAAGAAGAGAGCATGAGAGCTAGAGCACACATATGGATGTCAGAGGGAGAGAGCCCAGGCCCCGTAAGAGAAAGGAGAACAAGATGGGAGTAAAAGGCTGGAGATGCATTATAGAATTTTCTGTCTCAGTTCAGCTCTTGATCATAAATACTAAAACACACCTTTGCATTTACTTCAAATCTCACTTACTGATCTAATGTCGAGGGCTGCACAGATACAGCCAAATCATTTTAAAGAAATATTTTTCAAGAAATATCTCTGATTTCTATGATTAGAAATATATTTAGTTCTTGTATATGAACATAACTACCCTCATTACTGTAATTTGAATGTAAATCTAAGACTAATAATACAATAATTTACCTAATGCACTCATGAATGCTTATATATGCCCTGTTATGCATGTAGAGGTATTATCAAATAGCCAATTTCATGAAATATGTTCTTGGAAATGCATAAAGCCTAAAAGATAAATGTTTATTCAATGCCCAATTCTTGGCTATTGTTATTAACATTTCAAGACTACCCTTTGCCTCTTGAGTGTAAAGTACAAACTCATGTGTTTTTAACACATTTCACTTATTAAGGACTGTTAATGACTTATAATCAATTCCTAGCCATTGGCTATGCAAATAAGATTATTATGTAAATTAAGGTTAATTAATTGTCTAAAGGTTCGTCCCTTCTTCAGAATTAGCTGCCCTTTAGCTCTTCCACATATCATAGGAATATAATAGTAAACAGAATGGATTTAATTCATTAAATAACTATTTTATTGTGGTTTCTTCAAAAAGTTACTGATGAAGCTATTTTTAAAGTAAGTTTTACAACTATGCTGTAACTAGATTTACTATTTAAATGCAAATTAATAATTAAAATAAGAAAATTTTGGAATTCATTTCCCAAATTTGATAGCAGCAGTATTTAAAACATTTTAATCTTTTAGTATGGAACATTTCAAACATAAAAAAAAAATTATAGAGACTATTACAATGAACCTCACTCTGTCAATTTCCCAGATTCAATATTATCAAGGCCTGGACTCTCTTTCATCCCTACTTCCAATTGCTTCTTCACTCTATTATATTAAAGCAGAGCAGAAACATAATATTTCATATGTAACTATTCCAATATGTGCCTCTAACAGATAAGTACTCTTAAAATTTATCACAATACCCCTTTTTTTTTTACTCCTCTCCCAATTAAAAAAATATATCACTGGATATCAAGAAATATCCAGTTAATACTCACATAAAAATTTATTCACATCAGAATCTAAATAAGATCCATATA